CTTGACTCCCAGCTTTTAAAGATGGGTGAGCTTCCTGTGGTCAGAGCTGGGTGCTGGAGGAGGAGAGCTTTGTGTTGAAAGTTGTCACAAAGACGTTTTGGAACTTTGCAGGGTGGGCACAGCCTAGTTGATTGCAGGCAGCTGCAGGGTTCCCGGAGCTCCGAGGCCTGGCTTAGAACCACCTTAAGCGTGAGCCATGGCTGCTTCCTGGGGCAGCCAGCGATGGTCCATCCTCTGTCCCCTCCTCTGGAATGATCGGTAAGCGGAGGTTGACCAGGAACGCACGAGGCGTCGGGCAAAGTTTGTGTGAAAACTCGGACCCGTTGCTGAGTAGGGACAGCGTCTTCAGAGCTGAGACGAGCGTTCCAGGGCCCAGGCTCCATCACTGTCCTCTCTTCTCCTCCCCAGGCTCCGATGCCAGCACAGTGGAAATCCACACCGCAAGCGGGTCCCGCAACGAGCGCGAAGCCCCCGGTGCGCCGCAGCCCAGGAGACCTGTGAGGGGACACATGGTCCCCACTGCACAGTCATCACTCCCTCTGTGATTGCCTCGTCCTTCCCGCACCCACAGCCTGGCTCTCCACCCGTAGGAGCCTTCTCCCTGGGGACCCCGTGCCAGGACAGGGGACCCACAAGCCTGTGCCTGGGCAGGAAGAAGTCCTTCTAGGCCACTCAGCCGCCCTCTGGACTAGTCGCCCTAGCTTTTCTGAGGCTGGTTGTCCCGCGTCCTCAGGACGGTAGCTAAAAAGAAATAAAGTCACAGCGACTGACCCAGCCTGACTGGATCCTGTGCAAACACCTGAGGCGGCGCTGTGCCCAAAGGCAGCGGTAGAGGCCTAGCGGGGCAGGTGGGAGTGGGGCACCATGGACCGCATGAGTGCCATCCTTAAACTTTAGGCACACAGCCACCTGTTTATCTAGCTCATCTGTCTGTCTGTGCCCCATCTAATGTCTATCGTTCTATCTTCTGGATTTGTACTTTGAGTCACAGAGCTGCAGGTGGCTTCTGGGCACGCTGTGCCTGGTGCTGGGGTTTGCTGCCCACGGTTGTCTGGGTAGTCACTGCTGTCCTTCCTAAGGTGAGGGGGACCCATGCTCACCTCGCGCAGGGGCATCAAGGAGCTGTTGGCAGGAGCTCCATTTCCCAGGAGGCAACTGAGGACTCGCCTCCCTCTTTCTAGAAGCAGAGAGGTGACTGCCTTCATCCTTAGAGGCAGCGGTGTGTGACATGGCACAGCCAACCAGACCTGCCTCCCACGTCCTGGTTTCAAACTGGTGCCCAGTCCGGAAAGGGAGTTGGCAGCACTCGGGGTGCTTTCGGCCAGCTCGTGTCCAGCAGTCACCACCAGCTGTCATCTTCGCGGGGACAGCCCTGCAGCTGCATGCCTCCCTTCTGCTTCTTTGGAGATTCTCAGAGCTGAACTCTCCGCCAGAGCCACTCCTCCCACATGGGACATCTGCCTGCCACTTCTCCGGCTGGGGGCTTTGACATGTGCTCAGGGCCTGTCAACCTACCCACCATGCAGAGCCAGACCTAGGCTGCGAGCGTGACACATGGGAGCCCATCAGCCTATGGAGGGAGGAGGCAGTAAGTGGACAAGTAAGTGACACGGTGGCAGACAGCTGGGGCTTTGAGGCGTTTTCCTGTAAGGCTGGTGGCTGAGGGGGACGCCCATGCGTGGCTTTTACTGTTTACTGTTTGTGCCCATTGGAGAGTTGCCACTGGGTTTTGATTTTTGGCCGGTTATTAACCTTTTCAAACCCTGCTCCTTACTCCTGAAACTTTCGGGCACTGACTTCCCCAATTTCAGAGGGACCACCAGCACCACGTTGCAGCCGTGTGCTGGAGGCATGCAGCCCCGGCCATTTTCCGGGGGGGGGGGGGGGGGGCGGGGGGCGTCTTTAAATGAGACGTTTTGCTTGAGGACAAGAAATTCCTGACCCAAGACCCCGTTTTCCAGTGTGAATCTCACATTCTAATAGGTCAGTCGTGAATCCTGTCTCCCTGTGCCATTCTCCTGGCCTTATTGTCACGCTCTGCCTCGCTTTCCCTACTGTGGAGACAATTATCAGAGAAAGCAACCAGATGGGGAAAAACTGTGCAGTCAAATCTTGAGTCTCTCATTGTCTCTGCTTTGGCAGCACTGAGGTTTGAACTCGGGGCCTCCCGCTTGCTAGGCAGGCGCTCTGTCACTTGAGCCACGCCCCTAGCCCTTTTTGCTTTCGCTATTTTTCCAGTGCGTCTCATGCTTATGTGCAGGCCAGTCTGGACCATGACCCTCCTACCTGTGCTTCCCACAGAGCTGGGATGACAGACCCATAGCACCACACCCAGCTTGTTTGTTGAGATGGGGGTCTCACTAGCTTTTGGCTCAGACTGATCTCAAACCACAGTCTTTGTGCTTTGTCCCCAGAGTAGCTGTGATTATAGGCATTAGCCACCGTATCTGGAGTCTTTCTTTTGTTCCTTAGGGGCATAAATCTATTCCACGTGCCCTCCTCACTCTTGTCACGCACTCCATAAAGTGAGCTTCAGGACTCCACTGACGGTACTCCACAGCCAGCATCCGCGGGACAAAGACCGTCTTCTTGCAGGCTGTAGAACTCCTGGTCACTGTGGTCCCAACAATACTTCTACAGTGTGGAAAGCCAACCAGTCACCCAACCAAACACCAAAGTGATTCATGTTCCTAGCACTGTGGCTGAGGCCAGCAAAGCCTCCTGTCACATAGGCACTTATTGATCCTGGGGACCCTGCTGCCGGCCTACCCTGTGTTCCTAGGGTTCTTTGCAGGGACTACGCCCGGGAACACACTTGGTCAACTTGGCTTGGTAACAAGAAGAACATACCGAGCAGGTTGGGCCCCAGGTGGCAACTGTTCATGTAACATTTCGTCTCAAGTCGCCACTTCACGACCTGTAGATGCTCCAGAACATTTTAGTCAAGAGCAGACTGCACATATGATGCTGGCTCCACGAAACTCGATCGCTCCTGCAGACACAGAGGCGTCTGATTGTGTGGCTACACTTGGCGTTCACACGCTGCCGCGCACTATGGTAGACAGCGCCTTGTGGCGATGCTGACGGAAGCACCTGCCGAGCTGCCAGCCACACAAAGTAGAGCACGCACACTTGCATACAGTTGGTAATGCCAAGAAAGGGCTAAGTCACTGGTGTATGTTTATTACTTATAATTTTAGTCATTTCCATACACACCTTTTACACCTTGTGTTTACTGTGTCTCCCGACTGCACCACTTCCTCGTGTGTGATTTGATCTTGTGTTGCTTTGTTCGCAGCGGCCCTAGAAGCAACAGATTCTTCTTTTTTTTCTATCTATCACCTACCTCTTCAATCTGTAATCAATCAATCATCTCTCTGCAATCTAATCGTCCAGCTTTCTAACCTTTGGCCTAAGTGGGCAGCGCTAGTTCTGTGAAAGCGCATTCCCGTTCACATAATGGTGCTATCTGCTAGTAACGTATTTCTCAGATCATGTCTGTCGTGATGTGAAGTCACAAAGCCACAGGCGAAGACCTCAGGCACTCTTGGATATCCACAGGCAACTATCCACAGAAGCACTGAGCCAAGCAGGGCAGGGACTGCTCCTAGCCCTCTGCTCTGTCCTAGTGTGGGAACAGCTAGGACCACAGGGAAATGACACCATGATTTCCTTTGTGACTCACTTGTACAGTGGAAGCTTAGACTTACATAAACACCTCTGCTGATCTGTCCTTACCTTCCTTAATCTCCTGCCTCGTTCCCAGAACAGGGATGTCAATATCCATTAACTAATTAAACAATATGGATCATACCAATTCATTAAAGGGGCATAAAGGAAAATGTGGAAGAGGCTGGCACTGAACAGATATCCATAAATACTTTCTAAACGTTACTTTGCACAGTGCAGAACTCAATGTCCAACGTCAACTGTGCCCTGTCATTTTATTTTCTTTAAATTATGGCTAATCCTTAATCTTGAACACCCTGTCAATCAATGCACTAGCAAAACTCATTTGCTTGAATTCTTTTTGGTTTTGGTGGTACTGGGGTTTGAACTCAGGGCCTCATGCTTGCTAGGCAGGTGCTCTACCAATTGAGTAACTCTGCCAGCCCTGTGTTTTATTTATTTTTTTGAGATAGGGCCTCACAAATCATCTGCCCAGGCTGGCTTTTAATTGTGATCCTCCTAATCTGTCTCCTGAGTAGCTAGGATTATAGGCGTGAGCCACTGGTGCCCAGCTTTGCTTGGATTCTTAAATCAATCAGCCAGTCCAAAGAAAACTAATGAAAAGGCAATACACTAGGACACAGGCTCCCCTGGCGCAACAAGCTTCCAGAATAACCATGGGCTGCTGTGGACGCATGTTATGAATTCAGCGTGACAACATGGTAGGTAGCCATCTTGAGTCATAACTGCCGTAATTGTAACTTGGTTTTTCATGCTGTTCCCCGGCCAACTGTAAATAGACCAAACCATGAGAGCGGCAGGTGGAGCTTTACAGCTGGACCTGGCTCCCGGCTGTGCCCGCCTTTGGTTTTAGCTTAAGATAAACCACACATTCCAGCCTGTGTACATGCGGATTTCCGACCCAAAGGGTAGGGCTCCAGCTGGTCTTGCTGCCACCCAGGCCCGCACTTCCATCGATAAATTGTACCCTGTGCCAACCCCCTCTCTGGTCTCACAGCACTTTGGGGCAGGTCCTTCTACCCTAGGACTGGATTGTTCTAGAACACTACCAAGCATGTGATGTGGTTCGTTCCCCTTTCCAGGAGCAAGCCTGGAAAGAGGCACTCAAGTTACTTTCTTCTTGAGAAAACACAGAGCTCTGTCTTCATTCATGGGTGTTGAGTGGGCCCAAGAGTTACTGAACAAGACAAAAAAAAAAAAAACCCAAACAAAAATACACCACCAAGTTCTCTAATATCAAAATAGAGCAATTTATTCAAGACACCGGATATGACCTCTTGATTCTCTCTTGAAACAAATGAGCTACAACACACAAGGTGATTTGTTTTCCAAGAGTGTGAGGGGTGAGTGGGGGTGGGGGTACAGAACAAAATGGGGGCTGACGTTGTTTAACAGAATCTGGAAAACGCTGATAGAGAACCACATCTGGCTGTACGTCTGACACAGACAATAAAAACTGCAGAAGCCAGAATCCAAAACTTCAGTGAGTAGCGAAAGAGACAATTTTGCATTTGACAAGAAACACAATAATAAAAAAAAAAAGGTGGAACAAAAGGTTAAAAAACAGGAAAAAAAAACCAAGGAACAAAAGCAGATCCTTACATCTGACAAAGTGCACTTCACTTGGCTCCATGATCTATTTTTAGAAAGACAACAAAAAGTCAAGTCCTACGATGTTAGGCAGGGTCAGAGCTGGACCCTGTAATGTCCATCCGGCCCCTTGGGTCCCCTTGCAGGGCAGCTCCTGGGTATGTGTTGGATGTGGCTTGTGGTCACTTCAAACCCAACCAAAGATTCCAGGATTGTTATGTTATGCTGCTTTTAAGGTTAAATTTGGTCACTAAGACTTTTAAGCATCCCTCGAGATACTGTAAGAGCTGTAAGCCACGTGACACAGTAACATTACACACGGGCCATTCCTTGTACACAAAGATGACCTACGGGCTGGCTCTGCAGCGGCAGGGTAAAAGATGGTATGCAAATGCTGAAGGCTCCATGTACAGCCTGGATCGTGTTGTTTTGGGGGATGCCGTCCAGGGGCACGGCTGCATTCTCCTGCCTGGTCCTCTGGTGGCCTTCACTAAGCACCTCTCCGAGGCTAGTTGGGGAAGCCAGGGATGCAGGCGGTCTCCCTCGTCTTCGTCAGGCTCCCTCTTGTGCATGGATTGAGCCCACCCGTCCCTGGCCTCACAGCCTTGGCTCCAACCTAACTACTCTGATGTGGTTCAGTTACATCAAAGGGCTATAGCCACCACTTGAGTGAGACCCTGGCTCCCGACATTCAAGTGCAGATTGTCTACTGAATCCCTTGCTTTGCCTTCACCCACCACCATCCCGTAGCAGTTTTGGGCATGGTCAAATGGAAGCTGCACCCCAATAAAGGGCTGACTTTTGACAACTCATGTTTGGTACAGAGGAACGTATTTTTATTTGGGGAGTAGTAATGATGGTATTTGGACCCTCAAAACCCCACATTCTAAACTCAAATGCATTCTTGGGATGAGGAAATTTGATTATCAACGTATCCAATGTCACCTGCTATGTTCCAAGATGGGACTGAGGACTCCACAGAACTTTGGTTTTCTTTGCTAAGTGTTTAGGTACCAGTGCCCAAACACAACCCTCAACTCAAAAACACAGCACTTGTTGGTCTTTTGGGGCTTGAGTAACTCACATACCCAAGTGGAGGCCAGTTACCATCTGAGAAGGATCCACGCACCCTGGCTTTTGTGGCTGGTCCCAGAACATTCTCAGTTGTGCCGGATGCCCCTACCCTTCCCAGATGTTTGAATTTCAGCTCCACAGATGGGTGCCAGCCTCTAAGTAACACCCACCTCAGCTGTAGGAGAACACATCAGACTGATCCTGTCCCATGCCCACCATCCTGGCCAACTTCTCCTTGCCTTCCAGTGCCCACAGGTAAACCAATGAGGGAAGAGGCCCTACCTTGTTATCTTCAGGTCTATTCCCTCTCTGCTACTATTTAAAAAAAGTCTGCATTGAGTTATAACAACAAGCCAACCAAAGTCACCTAATCCAATGAAAGCAGACTGCTAGAAACACAAAGCCTAATTTTTAAAAAAATAGTAAAAAGATAAAAAAAAACCCTAAATAACCTTTCTCCTAGTGTCTTGCAAGAGAAAGGAACTGTAAAGATGGCAGAAAAGATAAGTGACATTCTACTTCTGTAATAATTTATCTTCAGGGCTGCAAGTCTTCCTTTGATATTCATTGCTTATCACCACTAAGACTGAGTGACACTCTGGAGCCTTCAGGTCAGCTTTTGCAACGATTTGCTAAGCATGATTTTAGAGAAGTGACTGTCCGTAGTCACACTGCTGAGGCCAATGGAGTGGACAGGTGCAGGTGAACCTCGCTGTCGGTTTGGATGGCTTCTCCGCTCTGTTCCTGCTGGCTGCTAACATACACACTGAACAAATGCAATTCTGCTTTGAACCAAATGAGCCAGGCTCTTCCTGCTGGTGGCAGAAAAACCCCACTGCGAGTCAGTAGGGCCTTTCCCAATCCAGGCTTTTCCTAACCGCCTTTCGTGAAGCCGAAGGGAAAGGGGTAATATATACCTCACACTCTGCCTGTGTCTTCTTAAAATTTTTACTAGGAATCACACAGAGCTCTCCATGTCTGATGGCCATTTTAGGATTTTAAAATTGTTTTAACATAAAAATATTTTTTCCAAAAATACTCCAGGCTCTTTCTCTTATAAGTCATTTTTTTTCTTTTGTAAAAACTCCCCCTCCCTGCCTTCTTACATAAAGCACTTACTATGCTCTGAAAGTGCCCTTGGGACCCAAGATGTGAAGCAACTATGAGAAAGGGGCAGAGAGAGTGAGCGAAGGATAGGGGTGGAGTGGAGAGGGAGGGAGAAAGCTGTCCATCAAAGAGCTTGTCATTGTGTCCATGTGGCCACATCTACAGAGGGTGTCACAAGAAGCAAGACCACACTAGACCAGAAAACGATAGTGGGGCAAGGAACAATAACAAGAGTAAAGAAGCAACAAACCAAAACTAGTTTCCATCTCAGATGGAAGGCCCCCAGACCACAGAATTCCAGCAGATAGAAAAACCACAGAACAAAGGTTCTAGAAAATAGAAAGTGTTGGGATTACAAAGTCGCGCATCTTATTGGTACAAACTGTTTTTTGAACATCCTTTGGGAAAGCAACTGTAGTGTCCAAATTGATGGGGGGAAAGCACCAGAAGGGGGAGGGTTTTCCCCCTTTTGGTTTATCACAGCATTTTGCTTTTCTTTTTTGGCACAGTTTTTTTTTTTCTCCTTTTCTTCCCCATTCAACCATCAGACATCAGAGCCTGATCCGGATGGAAACCAAAAGGTACACTGTCTAGCCGATGGCTTCCTCCTTCCCAGCTGAAAAGTCCTAGGTAGAACCACTTCCCTTGTTGATGTGATTGTGTATGCTTTTGTATTTGCTTGTTTTTTAAATTTCTGGATGGAGATTATGGAAAAATACGGACTCCTGTGGGCAGGGACGAGCTGATTCTAAGTACACTGTAACTCAAGTCAAGTTTGCACAGTTTGGGAGCTGGTGGTCGGAACAGCACTCCAACCCACATTCACTGCTGGCCCGTGGAATTCTTCTTCTGTGATATCTTATGTTTACTTCCGCAGATCTAAAACACACACCTACAAGGAAAGATAAAGCATCTGTTATGTAGTGCTTTTAGAACCGATGCTGGCAAAGGATGGCCCTTGGATAAATCCAGTTGGCCACTGACTGTTTTAATAAAGTTTTATCGGAACACAGTCATTAGGGGCCAGAGAATCTCTATCAACAGGCTAGTTTCTCAGCCTTACTACTAGTGACATTTGCAGCTGCTTCAGTCTCTGCTGCATGAGCCATCCTGTGCATTGTAGGAGGTTTGATTAGCACCCTTGGGCTCTACTGTAAGATGCTGGCATCAGAGTAATGACAACCCCAAATGCCTCCAGATGTTGCCTAACGTCCTCAGGGGCACCCTTGCTGAGAACTGCTGATTTAATGGGGGAAAATGCTGACTGGAATGACATTCTGAAAGGGACAAAGAGAAGGCTGTTTCCAGATGTGATGCCAACCCAAACAGAAGTTTCCTTTGAGTCACACACTGGTTGAGCTACTACTGTGTGCTGAGACTCTCCAGGACAAGAAGGTTGCACACCCCCTTGGAGGCCTACTCAGGTATCAGCTGCCCCATAGCCCCTCTCCCCACTGCAAACCAGAGGTACCACTTACAGAGCCGTCAGATGCACTGGCGCCCACTTTGTCTCCTCGAGCGTTCCAGCACACCTCGAAGATGCCGCCTGTGCCTCGGTAGCTGTGGACAAGACTTCCGCTCTGCAAAACAAAGCAAGTATCACTGCAACCCAAGTGGGCCCCAAGTACTGGCAGGTGGTCCTCCCATCCCCGCATTTGACTATGAGAACGTCCACGCACACAGAAGATAAAAGCACCAGTAAATGCTAATGGCTGGGGAAATGCAACTCTCAGACCTCCTACTTCGAAGAGAACTAACCTGCCACCCATAGAATTGGCACCATGTTTTAGCCTAGGCCATGGCTATTCCCACCCAATGACAGCTGGTGCCAAGGAGCGTTAAGACAGTTGGTTCCTATGAGATGTATGGCTGCCTCACGGGTAACTTTTGCCCATGGACTCCCCATTGGCTTTGAATTGAACCCAGAGCACTGAGCCTGCCAGGCAAGCCCTCTACCACAGGCCAAACCCCAGCCCTCTCCATTGGCTTTGCTGAGATATTCTCAGGCCTCAATGGCTACTTGAGACTTCCTATCAAACCTTCCTTCCTTCCCTCTCTCCTACCTGGGAGTCAGAGCAGCCTTGGGGTGAGTTCTCCTTGCCTCCTCCACGTCCTTTCCAACCCCACTCTATAAGGGTGTTCCTCAGTCACCCATCCTGTCTGCTTCTTGGAAAGGATGAATGAATGCAACTCTATCTAGCAGTTAAAAGTGGTTATCTAATGACTAACTTATGATTAAATGTACTAACACGTCACGAAGTTAAAACCCAAGTAATGTTATGGACAATTAGTTTGGAAGAATAAACACACATACTTGTACTGTGTTGTGAGCTAAGAGAACAGACTATAAGTTTCTGGTTATAGAAAAGCATTAACCTGACAAAGAGGCCAGAAGCAGAGGTCTTTGAGAGACCCGAATAAACCCTCAATAATGAACTGGTTACAGGCGGGAGAATCTGAAGATAAGACCAGGAGGGTTGTCATAAAACCTCAGTTCATCAGAGTTGCTGAAGTGTGGTATTTTGAGGTCACGTACCCCAAGTATGTTTTATTTCTCACCTACATCAATAATATACATACATTTACTTATTGTAAATATACGTGTGTGTATACCACTATCAATCTATATTAAATGTTAGCAAAATGTAATGATATCACATTTCATTACATTTAGAGAAAAAAAGTTTCTATTTACATAGGGGAAGAGGGCATATCCAGTGAATTGGGAGAGGAGGAAGTCAACAGTAGTATGTATATTTTATATTGAGGGAAGGATTAAAATGGGCTTTAAGATGTGTCAATGCAGGCTGGGTGTGGTGGCTCACACCTATAAGCCTAGCTACTCAGGAAGCAGAGATCAGGAGGATCATGGTTCAAGGCCAGTCTAGGCAAAAATTTAGCAAGACCCAATCTCAACCAGTAACTTCGGTGTGGTGGCATGTGCTCATCATCCCAGCTGCACAGGAGGTATAAACAGGGGGATTTTGGTCCAAGCCAGCTGGGGCAAAAGTTCAAGACCCTATTAGAAAAATAAAAGCAAAAAGGGCTGAAGGTCTGGCTCAGGTGGTAGAATGCCTGTGTAGCTAGTGCGAGGCCCTGAGTTTAAACGCTAGTATGCCCCCCCCCCCCCGAAAGTCTCAAGGCCTTTTCTGGTTTATAAAAATGAGTTTTCACAGTGGGCTGTAGCCAACTCAACATGTCTTTTGTCTTTTTTTTAGACAGGGTCTTACTATGTAGCCCAGGCTGGACTCTATTTTCCATCCTACTGCCTCAGCCTCCTGAATGCTGGGATTCCAGGTGTGAGGCTCCATACTGGCCATGATCATGTCAGTTTTTGATGATGTTAGTTTCCAAATCAATCCATCACCATTTCTAATAAGCATGTCACGAGTGGACATACTTTAACATTAGTTCTGGGATGCATTTTCTGGGAAGCCTATGTAGGGGCTGTGCTTGCTGTCACACTGGTTCTATGTAGGTTGTAGTATTTCTGTTTGTGTGAGGTACATCCCTGAAAATCCTGTAATCTCTGTGTGGACCCGTTGAACATGGCTCATTTATCACCTCCCCTGCCACAAGGGGGCATGAACTTGAGAATGCAAATCCATGTGTCATCAAGGCAAAAAGAATAAAAAAAAGTGAATCAGATCAAAGGGCTGGAAGACCATATGATCCATCCCGAGGTCAAACGAATCAGATCTTTAGCTATTTTCAATGACCCCTACCCACGCCACCACCTCTCTCTTCCACTGGAGTAAGAATCGAGGGCTGAGGGAATAGCTCAGTGTTAGAGCACTGGTCTAGCATGTGCAAGACCCTGGGTTTGACCCCCAGTGCTACCAAAGCAGAAAACAAACAAACAAAAAACAAATACGAGACAGGGACAATGAATCAACAGCTGACTACCTAGTACCATACTTTCTTCATTTTTACTACACTACTTCCCATCCACTTCTACTCTATATTCAGAATTCTTTTATCCCCATATGGCCAGAGATATCCAGAGTGGGTAAATTTTCTCAAATCCCCTGTGAATAGCTAAACCAGCATTCATATATCCTGTGTTTCTCAAACACAGAATGTTTTCATTGGAAAAATCCAAGTGACACGAAGACACCTCTTCCTGAACAGCCCCTCAATTTGCTCCACAGCAGAGCTAATACAGTTGATGTGGTCAGGAGGGCCAAGCTGGTCTCACCCAAGTAGTCTGGTGCCTGGAAAGCTTAGATGAAAGGATAGCTCCCCCCACCCTCCAACAGAGGGCAGCATTTCTGGTGGTAACATAAGTGGGCCATGCGTTCCCCAGAGCACAGGGACTCAAAGAAGCCACCAGAAGATGACTTCCTCAAGGAGGAACATCTGGCTCTGAATCACATGACCAAGAGCCCTGAGGACAGACACCAGAGACAGATACCTTCCTGGGGGAAGGGACCCACTCCAGATGTCTATGGTAGGGAAGACTCCAGGCCCTCGGGGTGCACACAGCAGTTAGCTCTGGGTTGACTCTGCCGGGGAGTCCAGCTTGCTCTCTGTTTGAGGCAGCTCATTCCCGAGTCATCTTCTCCCTTCCCTGCCTGGGTCACTGAGAGCATGCCTATCTGGGTACTGTTTGGGGGAAGGATTCAGCCATAGGGATCAGGAGATTACCTGAGTGTTCCAGATATGGACACACTTGTCAAAGGAGCCACTGGCCAAATATTTCCCATCAGGGCTAAAGGCTACACTGTACACAGGTTCTTGATGTTTGGTCAGTGTGTGGATGCAGACGCCTCGCTCCACATCCCACAGTCGAACTGTAGAATCAAACGAAGCACTAGAAAGACAGCAGAGAAGACAAAACCACATTAACATGTTGCATTTTAAATAATTCCCAATGATGTATGATTGATACATCTTGTAAGAATTGTTTTTTCCTCCAGTCTTACATTTTAACAGTCAATAACCAAGTGAGCTTTTTCTCTCCTGAAATGAAACTTGGATGTATGGAAAACAAAGCTACAGTCGTAACACAGAAAAAGAATTTTCCCTGTGCTGTTATTACAGAAGCATATTCATTTTTCTTTATTTTCTATAGCTACGACAGATACTTTTGTGTGATATTTACCTAGCTCTCTCAAACACTACTGCAGTTTTCAAGGTAGCATCTATTTTACTAGCTAAACTAATGCATCTAGCCGTAACTGGGAAAAAAACCCCAGCAAATTAAAAGAAAATTTAAAACAATAGGAATTAAAAGAATCACATCCACAAGTATGATCACATTGCTAAGACCTGCAAATTTAGTTAGTTTCAAATTTCAAATTTAAGCATGTATCGCAAAGCTGTTACCTGTCTCTCTCTCCATGGGACCCATGAGAGAAGTATATGTCCTTCTATACTTGCTGACTAAGAGGACAATTTATTCTCCAAAAGGGTCCTACATGATACAAACCACCTTTTCAGTTATCAAAAATAACTACCGTGTATAGGACTTCATCATCATAATTTATCTGATTTTTTTCCTTTTTGGTGGGCCTGGAGTTTGAACTCAGGGCCTCGCGCTTGCAAAGCAGGTGCTCTATTGCTTGAGCCATACTCCCACCTCATCATCCTAATTTAAGTGGAGTTTTGGACACTTACTTGAAATAAGAGAATTATGGCCTTTTGGTTCTCATGGTTCAACTACTCAGTGATGCGATGGAATCCTTCTAGTCTTTTCTAAGTGACAGTCTTGGGTTGAGCACTTCCAATAATGCTGTCCTTACTGCCTGGTATGGCCACCTGCCTCACAGCTGGGTGCTTCCTTCTTTATAGAACTGTGCCTTCCTGTCCCTTTTCCCACCATCTTCTTCTCTGGAACTGCACAGCATATATTCCCTGCTCCTTCCTTGTCACCAAACATTCCCGCCCAGATCTTGTCTTTTGCAGGCTAAAGAAACATCCGCATCTCACAAATCCAAACCCCAAGGATCCCTATCATGGCTCTTAGATCAACCTCAGAATCTTGTTAGCTCAGACTCATTAATGGTCTCATTAATATACAAAGATGAGCAGGGCTGGGGAGTGGCTCAGCTCTTGCCTAGCACTTGCAAGGCCCTGGGTTTGAGTCCTGCACCACAAAATAACCAAACCAAACCAACAGTGGACTGTTACATTCGTTGGGATCTGACATTCATCAGGATGCTACAATTTTGTTGCCTGAAGCCCAAAATAATGTGGTTTGGGGAGTCCACATTTTCTCAATTCTGGTGTTTGACTGACAGTCTACTCCAGTCTGAGGAAATTCAGGTCAGATCTGTCTAGCGTCAGGGAGTCCTTTGTCTCCACTCAAAATTCGCTCTGCCAACAGCCCTGAATTGAGCTTGGTAAACTAAGCCTGAAGCCTAAGCTAAACTCTTTTCATTTTCCTTTCTTTGTCTTAATAAAAGCTTTTGCTGAAGCAAAGTGGTAGAAGCCTGGACACTGAATGCATCTTACAGACCTCACAGTTACAATCATCTATGCCCGAAATCAGGCCTCACTTGGTACAGGTGGCCCTCCATGTCTGCAAGTTCCTCACCCATACATTTAACTGACCATGGATCAAAAATGACTGAAAAAAAAAAAAACCCCGCACTTGTACTAACTAGCACTGGCCTTTTCTTGTCATTATTTCCTAAGCAATACAGTATACTAATTACTTAAGATTATTTACTCTGTGATAGGTACTATAAGTAATCCAGAGATGACTAAAGTACACAGAAGGACGTGCATGGGTCATATGCAAATAATATGCCATTTTAGACAAAGGATTTGAGCACTGGTGGATTTTGGTATCCACGTGGGTTCTGGAGCCAATCTGCTGAGGATATTTAGGGACAAGCGTATCTCCGTCTCATTGGCCCCTTCCAAGTGAGTTGCTACTTTGTTTGCTTTGGAAGGGCTTCAACACACTGACAACACACTCTAGCAAAATGTTCTACTCTTTGTGTTTGGGTAAGTGCTCTGACCATGCTGCTAAACCAGCGCCAGGGAGCGAGGCTGCATTTGGAACAGAGATGGGGCTGTGCAGGCTGTCTTCTCTTTACCTTGCTAACATGATGTTGGAGTTTGGGTTGCTGGTGGCTGGTCCCGTGGGACTCCACTTGATGGTGTATATCTCTTTGCTGTGGGCTTGAAGGTCATGGACACACGTGTCCTGCTTCATGCTCCAGATCTAGGGGAGACAGTAGCAACGGCATGAGCCAGCGCTGTTCTCACTGGCAGAGCCTGGCGCTGAGAACGCTCCTTAGGTGGCTGGCCCAGGAGAGGCTCCCAGGCCAGCGGAGAGTCCACGGGGCACGTCAGCAGGTGCTTGCCCAGGAAGGGCCGAATGGGGCAGCTGAGGAGCCCAATCTAAGGGTAATGGGAGACAGGGCACGGGAAGGTGAGGGTTCTCACCAGAACCTCTGGATGAGAAATGGGAGCTCGCTGGATGAGCGCTAATCATTTCGTTAGCAACGGGTAAATTATGGAAGAGAGACTGGTGTCAAAATCATCACCTAGAGGAATGGGGCGTGTGGGCCTGGTGTCGCGTCTGGGGGTTGTCTAGGATTAAGCAGCCCATCTCTTCAGGTGCCGACATTACCTTTAATGTCATGTCGTCAGAGCAGGAGGCCAGCAGCATTCCAGAAGGATCCCACTTGATGGCATTGACCTCATTCTGCAAGAGAGCAAAGGGTTTAAAAAAGACATCAGGGCCTGTAAGTAGGGAAGGCAGCCCTCCACCAGGGGGCAGAGGTGCTCTGCCAGCCCTGCAAATGGCCACTTGGGAATTACCCTGGATCTAAAAGAATACAAACACAGCACCAGAGTCCATATATTTTTCTCACTCTGCCTTTTCATGTATATAGAAGCAAAGCCATACCACACATAATCAGCCACTTTCATCCATATTTAAGAAAAAAATTCCCTAGTGGGAAGGAAGCCAAAATGAAGAACTCACACACAACTACAGCAAATAAAAACTGAACTTTCAACACCACTTTCCTATGCACTTTTAATGTTACAGCTATTCTCTCTAGATCCACTATAAGACACTGACCTTTTGGACGGGAGGCAAATGTAAAGAATGGTCAAGGCAGAATGAGGGCTTATGGTAGCAGGCAATGCAACCCAAATGCACCAACACGCATGCAAGCAACCTAGATGTGCAAGGGAAACTGATGCAGGGGCCCACTGAAAGGAAAACAAGCACAGAAAGGGGAAATGAAATCCTTGGCACGAACAGCCAGGTAGGTAACATGTTGCAAGCTGAAGGTTCTGACAGGCAGGAGCAGGGTGCCACACAGGGCAGGCAGGAAGCAAGGAGGCTGCAGGCTTGTCTTCGTTCCCGAGGACCAGGAGGCCCTGGAGGCTAGATCCTAGAGGATAAAGGCAAAGGTGCCAGGTGGGCAAGGAAGAGGAGGATTGTGGTGTCAATAAAGGACCAGCATGCAGCTAAGCCACATGGTTTGGACACCATGGAGAGTGAAGTGAACTGAGGGAAGTGATGGGGTGAAATGTACCAGCAAAGGGCTTCCGAGTAGGGGGACTGTAAATCCCCTCACCCCCGCCAGGACAGTCCCAGTGCACTATGCCTGTTGTCTCAGCCTAACAAATGATTTCACATACGTAATTAATTTTCAAAATCATTTCACACTCCCAAGTGCTCCGGGCTGAATGATAAAATCGTATGGTGAGGCTCCTTTCTAAGGATGCAAGTTTTGAAAGATGTGAAACAGCAACAAGGCCACATTGTTCCATGTGGTACCAGGTGGCTGGGAAAAGGGAAGAAGCTGAGAGTATGGCTTCCATGGGAACCAAAGGAGGAGGAAGAGGTCTGCCTGGAGAAGGGAGTGTGTGTGACTGCATGTGTGAGCGTGTGTGTGCACCTAAGTGTGCACAGTGTACTTTGCGTGTCTCTGACTGTGGCCACGGAGAAGACCCAAGGGCAGATCTCTCCAGGCTGGAAATGCGGAGCCAGCCACCATGGACTGTTCTGTCTCTCCTCACTGAACACACCTCCAATCCCACAGGGAGACCAGGATTCCTTCCTTGGGGTGGGGTTTCTTCTCCCTCTCCCTGCAACAAATCACAATTCCTGGGAAGCATCCAAAATGGGCTCAGAGGACTACATAAGTAGCAGACTCAGCCACACTTAGCTGGAGGTCCATCCAGAACGATCAGCAGTAGTAAGACACCCTTGACAGAGCCCAGGTGGCATGGCATGATGGAGGCAAAGTTTGAGTCGGACCGACAGAAATCACAGACTGCCCACAGCCGTATTAAGAGCTAGGGTTAGAGAAACAATGCTTAGACCGAAAAAATACAAAGGTCAGTTTACAACATCTTCAGGACCATCCACACCTGTACTCTCAAAGTCCCTTCTTGGGCTGGTGGTGTAGCTCAGGTGGTAGAGCACAGTGAGGCCCCAAGTTCAAACCCTAGTACCACAAAAAAAGAAATCAAAAAAAGGGCCTTCTTTCAGAAGCAGGGACCCACTGGGCCAGAGAGCTGGGAGGGGTGTACTAGTAATGGGGAGTGGGTAAATGCTGCGACAATGGAACTTCTGTAGTTACAATAGTGGCCTAAGGGCAGCTTTCCAGGACTTTGATCCTCCTCCTCTTCTTAATGGGTTTCTCCCAGGCTTAGCCATTCTGGGAACTGATGAGAAAAAAGCCACCAGCCTGGAGGCCTGCTCTTGATGTGCTGGCTCTGCATTTTTTGTGGGAGGCAGACACACAAACAAGCATTGCCAGCAAGAGCAAGGCCAAGAGCGAGGTACTGCTGTGGGCAATGGACTCCCAGGCAAGCGCCATTAATTCTCCCCAGGGAGTCTGGAGGACCTCTAACAGGGTTTCAGAAGATAGGAAGGGTCTTGTGTCAGACTGTGGGTGGCTGTGAGGACGGAGCGCAGAGCCTGTGTGGCAGGCTAGTAAGGGATGATAATCATGCTCTCCAGTATGCAATGTGACATTTTTCAGTCTTGGGTTGCTTTGGTGACTTTGTCTTTATCATTAATTTTGCTATCTGATGACCGTATGTCTAGCGGTATGGTGTGGTTCTCTTTGTATCTGTCCTGCTTGGCATTTGCTGTGCTTCTGAGATTGAATTTTTTTGAAAACTGCTTCAAAAAAATGTTCTGCTCCTTTATCCTTTTCCTTTCCTGTTACGGAGATGTTTACAGGACTTGACGTTGGCCTAAAGTCATGAAGCTGTCATTCATTTCTTTCTTTTTAAGTTTTTATCTGTTCTTTGAATTGGCCAGTTTCCATGGTCTCCCTGCAGGCTCACTAACTTTACCTCTTCAATCTCCAATCTAGCAGTAAGCATATCTATTAAGATTGCCTCTCAGTTTTCAACTTTCCATTTGTTTTTAAAAACATAGTTTCCCACACTCTGTGGACACTTCCCATCTATTCACTTATTCTGAGCATCTTTTGCTTTAAGTCCTTGTATATGCTCATAGCTACTGCAAAGCCTTTGCTGTAAAAATCTAACACCCAAAGCACCTCAAGGTCACTTTTTCTCAATGCAAAGTGGCCAGAGTCACCTTACCAGCTCAAGCAGCAAAGGGCTGCAAGTAACAGCTTTGCTGTCACAGTACCTTTTAATATGAGGCACAGAAGAAATGGCTTCTACGTCACACTTTCACAAACTCCAGTTTGATGATCCAAACTCCCACTTACCGTGTGTCCTTGGAAGGTTTTGACCGGGCGGTCACAGCCGAGTCTGCATACATGAATGCACATGTCTGTGCTACAGGAGGCAAAAGTAGTGTTGTTCTGCCAGTCCACATCAAGAGCAGGGGCTGCCGGGGCAGGGAGGAGAGACAGCATATTTGCATTCATTAACTTTGCACAGAATTTGGGCTGATTTAGACAAATTAAAAGCATCATGAAGAAGATTTATCTAGTAACACCATAAAAAACATCCCTAGCATGAAGAGGTTCTTTCCTTCAAAGACCTTCAAGACGCTCTCCTTCCAATTTGCAGAGACCAGATGCTTCTGGAGAGAGACCCAGTGATAGTTCGTGTGCCCCATGTCATGCAACATTTGTCACTCCCATGGCAAGGATGAGGAGGGGAGGCGAGAAGAATGTGGCTGATTGCACGTTCAAGATATGCTCCTTGGGAAAGTCTACAATGCTGTAATGAATGCATCTGTTGGACTGGAGGATTCACGAGAATCCTTTTGGAGATGCAACTGGGCAGTCCTGGTTCAGGACTTTTGAAGAACACCCTTCCTCATGCCTGGGTTTTTCTCAGGTCCAGGGGGCTCCAAGAGCAACTTGTAGGGCAGGATGGTGACTGCCCTACAGTCCTCAGGGTATTGCCTCCATCCCTTCAGTAACCAACTCCCCATTAGACTTCTTAGCATCCCTGTGTTCTCGACACTTCCTCCTACTTCCTGCTTCAGAGTGTTGCTCCCCATCACTGCAGGAAGTAACGGTGACAGGAACAATAAAAAAGCCAACTAACTTAATTTTTTTTTTTTTGGTGGCACTGGGGTTTGAACTCAGGGCCTCATACTTGTTAGGTAGGCACTCTTAATGCTTGAGTTATTCCACCAGCACTAGCTAACTTTTAAATTTCATTCTACTCATTGTTTTCATTCTCTACCTTCTGATTTCTTTCCTGGGGTGGGAGCTAGAAATTCAGCACCTTTCAATGCACTAAAAGGGCCCAGGCAAAGAACTGGTTAACTAGGGAAATGCCAGGCTTTGGATCTGTTCTGACAGAGGACAGATCCAGACTATGCAGGTCTGGACTGTATCCCTATACCCAAGTCTGGACAGACACAGGAAGGACGGGTTAAAGCAATTGCACCAAAGTCAGAAAAACCAAGGCTCAATTCCTTGTTCTGCCCCTAACTGTGCAACCTCAGGCAGGTTACAGGCCTCCAGGGGTCTCAGACAGCAATGGGATGTTAAAAAGGAGCCCTCAGGTGAGTGAGTGAGAGCACTGAGCAGGAGAAGACATCTCAGGTGATTAGCAAAATGCCCAGCACATGGAAAGGGTGAAAGACAAGGAAGTTAATATGGGTGTGTGTTTCTGAGGAAGCACCACTCTTTACTCCACTATGGAGAGCAGGTCTGAGTCTGGGTGTGGCTGCTTCCACCTCCTCTGGGGACTCACCGCTCAAGCGGTCACTAGGTACTCCTGGGGGCTGCAGAGCATGCTGTGCTCATGTTACCCAGGAAGACAACATCCCATGGGGACGTTCCATAGAGCACTTTGCACACCAAGAAGAGAGGGAATTCATGATCAGGAGAGGAGTGGGTAGGGAAGAGGAGCAGAGGAGAAAAGGCCTCTCCTGTGAGGATTTTCCTTCGGCTACTTAGGAGTCTTAGCATTTCCACCTCTTAGAATTGTGGGGCCTCCTTTCAGGACCAGAACCTCTGGAACTCAGCCCTGTGCTCACAGAACGCTATGGAAGGGAAAGACTAAGGATGTGAGCAGTACTGAGCCTGACTGCGCAGTCACCTCCCTGCTGAGGGTTTCAGCCTAATTTGATGAGGAAATGTCATAAGGGCAACAACCTCAGGGCTTTGAAGGCTGCCATCCTTCCTCAACCTCCCTCTTAACTGTGTTAGTTCCCAAGCTGCACTACATTATACATACTTCCCAGTGGGAATTACGTTAAAAAGAAGGAAAGAAAAGATGGTCAAGACGGGTCCCACCAGAGCGGCTCCGTGATGCTCCAGGAGAAACAGAGGAGTTGAGGCAATTCTACAAGCTCCATTCATTTGTTCTCCTGAGCACTAACGCCAGTGCATGTGGCGTTAAAGCAAAGCTTCGTAAAGTAGCCGCAGACATTGAAGCGGGACTTAGGAAGTGAGAGGGCTGGGTTTCTGCATGCCTCAGGCCACAGCCCTGCCAGCAGCTCCTCAGTACAGAACCTCATCTCTGTGTGTATCTTCAAGGAGGGTCAGCACTGAACTGGGAGAAGAATTCCGCTCGCTCTGGATCCTAACCATGGATTGCCACCTCGGTTCCCTGATCTTTAAGAGGTGTCGCTATAAGGGTAACACTGGTTTTTGCAACATCTTAGGCATGTATTTCCTTCTATCCCTAGGGTGTGGCTCACGACAGTCCCAGTGCTCTTGGCACACGCCCTTACTCCTGTACATCATGTGAGCTAAATAATATTGAATTCTGGGGTCAGCCTCTGTGCCCCCCAAAACATCTCCTGTACATTACATGAGCTAAATAAATAACAAACTCCTGGGTCACCCTTGGCATGAACCCAAAACAACAACACACCTACCTGAATGGAAAGGAAACTGTTGCTTGGCTTCTCCTGTGTGGGCGTCCCAAATTATTGTTGTCTGTGTTCCGCAAACAAAGGAAAAAGTTAGTGGCTATTCTCACAAAGATTTCTCTAGAAAAATGTCTCATGCACAAAAGACAACTAGCCCCTTTTCCTTCAAAACTCTCATTGCCCACCAACATGAGCCATAGGGTTATTTTAAATTTCCTAGTAACTACATTAAAAAAAGGAAACTAGTGAAATTAATTTTAACAATATACATTTTAGTTTATTCCAATTTAGCCAAAATATTATTGTATTAACATGCGAGAGGTATAAAAACTAATGAGGTATCTGGTATTCCTTTTATTGGCATCTGAGTCTGTGATGGTGTGTATGGTACATGTAACAATCTGGGTGCCACATTCAATGACCTCAACAGCTCCACATCCTAGCTGATGGGTACTGTATAGGACAGAGAAATCTTAAACTGATCCTTGGGAAAGAGACCAAACTTAGAAAACTGCTGAAAAATGAGTAACAAAGATACCTGTACATCTTTTTGGCACTTTTGGTAAGGAAACGCTGCAGAAACAAGTGTCTGAAAATTCTCTTGACACTCCATGCACCAGGGGCATAGGCTGAGCAACACCTAACCCAGAACTCCAAAATCAAAACCCTTTTGAGAACTGACATCATAGTTAAATAGTTTTGGGTCTTGAAGCATTTCTTTTACTATGTTTTAGGCCTTGTGCATGTTAGTCAAGCCCTTTACCACTGAGTTACATCCCTGCCCTAGAGTCTTTCTGATTTCAGATTGTAGATGTGCAACTAGTAGAAAGTCCACGCAAATATCCCCAAATCTGAAAAACTTCCAAATCTGAAATATGTTTGGTCCCAAGATTTAAAAAAAATGTTGGTGGGACCAGGGTTGAACTCAGGGCTTCACACTTGCGAAGCAGGCGCTCTACCACTTGAGCCACACCGCCAGTCCCATTTTGCTCTGGGTATTTTGGAGATGGGGTTTCATATTCTATTTGTCTGGGCTGGCTTTGAACTGCAGTCCTCCCAACCTCAATGTCCCAAGTAGCTAGCATTACAGGTGTGAGTCTCCAGTGCCTGGTAAAAAGAACTAGATCTTTGTTGTTGTTGTTGTTACGGGAATGTTGAACTCAGGGTCCATGCTGCGAAGTAGGTGCTCTACCACTTGAGCCATGCCTCTGGTCCCAAGTATTCTGAATAAGGGATGCTCAACCTGTACCAGATACAGCAGAGCCCTTGGATTGCACTGGGCACCAATGCATAGGTGCTAAAAATCCTGGGGGTGGGGGGAGGGAAGGCAAGACAAACCACGAATTCCTAAGAATGTACTAATGCTAGGAAGACAGAGAAGCCAGGGGCAGCTTATTATTCCCATTGGAATTAAGTCCTGGTCAGCTGGAAGTTTCTACTTATTTTGAAACTGTGTATCTCCCTGTCAATGAGACTTAAAAAAGACTTTAGTAAGTAGTTATATTTTGTTGTATTTCAGAGGAAATGTTCAAAACAGCAAGTGCTTCCACAACTTGGCTCTTGTCAGTTTTAGACTACTTAACGTTTGTGTGTGTTTGTTGGGACTAAACTCTAGTTTATTCAGCCACCCACAAACAGATCTGGCACTGCAGAGAATACGAAAACTTTTCCACAATCCTCGGATACAATTTCACATGCTATCAGAAATTGGATCATTTAGCTGGTGCCTATCTTTAATATACACTAGACAAGACATTCATTATGTACTTGTGCTAAGCACACAGTGAAAATCAACAGCAATAGTTCTGCACGTTACATTTCCTCCCTGGGCTTTACCTTCAATAGCATCAGTAGCAGTGCTGGGGATGGTACCCAGGACCTTGTGCATGCCAGGTAAGCACTACTTCTGGGTGCACCACCAGCCCAAGAGCATTACTGTGATTATTATGATTATTGACTAAGTAATCAGGGCAGACAGCATATGCCCCAAAGACTAATAAAATCCCAGATATACATTTTCAATGACTGTATAGTTCATTACCTGGTAGAGACAAAATTGATATGATCAACAAGAAAACCACAAATGAAAGGCCGGAAGGAGGTCAAGAAACCAAGAACGATTTAGAATTCTATGAAAGTCAAATGGTAACAGTTACTGGAGATCCAGGGCCTAAGTTCCTGCCCTCCTCTGCATAAGCTGTGTGGCCCTAGACTAGTGCCTGCCTCCTATGTTGGGAGCACTGGGTGGGTTAACATGTGTTACTGTAGTGCAGTGTTTGACAGCTGTCAGCAATTCCTGATGGCTGATGCATGGATAAGAAAGAAAGGGCTCTGCATGAGTGTTACTTGAATTGGAGCATGCTGGGGAAATGTGATGGTAGCTGCATGACAATTGTTTAACATGTTAAGCACAGCAGCTCAGATTTTTCCATGTTATGTAGGAAGCTGCCAAGTTGCACAAAGGGCTTTTTGGGTGTGTGTGTGTGTGTATGTGAGAGAGAGAGAGAGAGAGAGATTAAATGAACATGACTCATTGACCCAGACTGTTATACCCTAATGGAGGGGTTGGCAAACTTTTTGTTAAGGACCAGACAGTAAATTTTTTAGGCTTTGAGGGTCACAGGGTCTCTCAAAACTTTACAACTCTGACATTGTAGTATGAAAGCAGCCAGAGACAATTCTGAACAAGTTGGTGTGCTTGTGTACCAATAAAACTCTATTTAAAAAGTCAGGCAATAGGGATGGGTATAGTGGCTCACACTTATAATCCCAGCTACCCAGAAGGTAGAGGTTGGAAGGATCATGGTTCGAGGCCAACCTGGGCAAAAAGTCAGTGAGCTCCTGTCTTAACAAACAAACATGAGCCTGTGATCTCCACTACATGGGACATGTAGTAAAAGAATCACACTCTGAGCCTAGCTCTGAGCAAGGCACAAGACCCTACCTGAAAAATAACTAAAGCACAAAGGGCTGGGGGGACAAGGCTCAAGTGGTAGAGTGCCTGCCTAAGTGCGAGGCCCTGAGTTCAAATCCCAGTAAAACAAAACAAAACAACGGCAACAATAAAACAAACAACAGGAAATAGGCCAGATATGGCCCATGAGAGCTGCGGTTTGCTAAATGCAACCAGGTTGTCTCCAAGAATGTGATGACATTTGGAGGTCAAGTCTGTTATTTTTGTATTAATTTTCAGAACCTGACTGGACAGAAATGAGTAATGTAAAAAGGATGTGCTACATTAGTAAGGTTTTCACATTATCCTAGAATCGCTACAAAATGTGAAGCTGTGTGGGAGACCCAAGCCACATACAGCACTCGCAGTTCTCAGGTGTGGCTTCTGGCTGCAGAAACATGACGGCTGGGAAACACCTGTGTGAGATTTCTTAAAATTGTTGGTACTGCTTCCTTTCCACTGCATCTGCCTGGCAGTGAACACAGCCTGTGAATTCTGAACTGGCTCTGAGTCCCCAGCGGTGTCCACCTTGTGCTTGGTCTCAGAGAGGTCTGCCGTCTACAATGGACAGAGGCAGCTCAGCCGGCAAGGAAAGCTGAAGCCGGGGGAGGAAAGACAGACTCACTAAAATCACTCAGTTGGGAGAAGGTTCCTTCCAGCAAATGAGAAAGGCCACTTGGAGATTTTCCTCTTTCTGTCACTGAACTTTAAGGGGACACTTGGCACGCAGGTCTAGAGAATGGCAGAATAGATTATGACATGGAGTGGTAGTAGTAAGACAGATGCCACGAAAATAAACAGAGCAACAAGTGTTGTTGACTCTTAAAGGGAAGCAGAAACCCTATGAATTCAGAGAAGCTACAAGATTAAAAAGAAATCAGCATGAACAGATCAAAGGGGTATACTTGAAATCTATACTCACTTTGTCTACACCGGCACTCAAAATATAATTGCCCTTTTTGTTCCACTTCAAGGCAAAGATGGGGCCTTTATGTTGACCTAAGGTGCTGGCCAGGTTACCTATTATGTAAAAACACACAAACTTACTGACTTCAAAGTCATTCTTTGCTCACTCCAGGGTCATATACAAAGCCCCTTTTATGTAAGCCCAACACATGGGACACAGAACCTACCATCTTCTGTCCATATTCTTGCAAATCCGTCATAGGAGCCAGTAGCCAGTAGTGTCCCATCACTCTGAGGGCCAGAAAGAGACAACAGGTTACTGTCTGCCCAGCAGAACTACCTTCCCCCAGGCCTACCTTCCCACTGTGAGGCTCCTTCACAGAGCCACCAACTCATCTTGCTGGTGCATGTGCGTTACGTACAGAGTGGTCTCCCACACCAGTCCACTGTCTGCCCGCATAGTGACAAGCTTTTGGAAACAGAGGCTGCTGTGCCAGCACTGCTTGTGTCTGCACAGGCTCCATCACATCTGGAGGATTTTCCAGTTATAAGTGTGTCTGCATGGTGGAAAAGGCTTACGTTCCAGTCTAGCGAGGTGACATCCTTATTACTTGGGACATCGTGTCCCCCTTCACGTATACAGTGCCTCAGCACAAGCTGCGTGGAGCCCCCGCTGCTGTTCTCATTAAGGTTCCATATCCTTGCAGTGGAGTCCCCAGATCTGCAGAATAAAGACACATGAACATCCAAGCTGTGGTTCAAGGGATAAAATGCTCATTGTTAACTGGTCCCTGGCTAGGTCTTCTGTCTTTTTTCATCTCTTGCTCACTGTGTTTCCCTGTCACCATCTCCCTGTTGATTTTAGATGTCTGTGCATTGCTCCCACTCCCCACAAAGAAAGTGACTTGGAATAACAGCATCCCCACAATACAAGACACACAGAGCAGTGAAGCATGGAGCACCCATTCCTTGGTTGGCACATGTTGAAAGATGCTACCAGTGAGCATGTGTGCCTTAAAGCAACATTCTAGGGTCCCTTTCCCTGACCCTGAAGCACCCCCATCTCCAAATCCTTACCCAGAAGCTAGTAGATCACTGACAGGATTCCAGGCACAAATGAACACCTCAGACTCATGGCCTCGCAGGACTGTGGCTTTGTTGGGTGGAATTTCAACATCCCCATCGATTTCCATTGGTTTTGAGTGATTATCTATTGGAGGAAACATGAAAAGGTAAGTGGCTTACCAACAACACAACACGAACACATCCTCAGGTACATTTCTTTAGAAATGCTTCGCTTTTACCCACTAAAGGACTACTACATCTGATGACTAACTAAATAGTGGCTTTTGGTGTACTTTAGTAAGTATGTTTCTATTTTGACAATGTTATAGCGCAGGTATGTGCGTGTGTGTTGGGAGTTTGGTGTCCAGATGTGGAGGTATTAAGAGGCAGTGGGACCTTTAAGAGGTGGTAACTAATAGGCACACAGCCCATCACGTTTTGCAGCCCGGAGTGCTCATCAGAACCATAGCTATGCTGTTTGAACTTTTAGCCTACAAACTGAACTAAATAAATGTCTTTTCTTTATGAAGTATTTACTTTCAAGTATTTTACTGTAGTAACAGAAAACAGACTAATACACAGTCTTAAATTTGAATAAAGGGCAAAAGTTATTTATTATTTATAAATAGGGCCAGCCAACCATGGTCTGCAGGCCAGATCTAAGCCACTGCCAACTATTTTTGTAAACAAAGTTTGACTGGCACAGCCACTCCTGTATTTTTGCATTGCTTATGGTCAGTGCTATGAGATGAACTGTGTGTTGAAGTCCTGACCCACAGTAGCTTAGGAGGTAATTATATTCAGAGACAGGGCCTTCAAAGAGGTGATTAAGGTAAAATGAGATCACCAGGGTGGGCCCAATCCAGTAGGATTGGTGTTACAAGAGATCAGGACACGGGGAGAAGATGGCCTCTACAAGCAAGGAGAGAGGCGTCAGGAGAAGCCAGCTTTGCCCACCCCTTGACCTTGGACTTCCAGTCTTAGGACTGTGGGATAGTAAGTGTCTGCTGTTTAAGCCAAACAGCCTGTGGAGTAATTCCAGGGCAGCCCAAGCAAGCACCTTAGCTGCCTGTGTCATGTAAGGCTGGAGTTCAGTAGTCATGACAGAGACTGTGGCTCTCAAAGCCGGAGGCAGTATCGATTTGTCCCTTTACAGGAAAAGTTGGCTAGGCCTGCTCCCCACTAATGAGAAAGCAACCGAGAGTGGGATCATTAAACAATCAGCAATGGCTATAAGTTTCACAGCTTGGTCAGGAATTGATCATGCTTGATCTCGTCTCTTCCGTAAAGGTTTTTTGGTGGACAACTCCAGCAGGAAATGGACTCCATTTCTTCCTCAGTGGCAGGGGACCTGACAGTGCTCTGCTTCTCCTTCCACACACAAAACAGAAGAGTGTCTGGTAGCTCTGCCGGATACTAAACACTGAGGTCCTTCCTGGAGTAACAGCCTGCTGAAACCAGCATTCCTTTTATGCCTCCGAACCCCTCCAGTGGCCAGAGAAGATACTGCACAAGAGAAGAAGCACGCTTTCCACATGGAGAAATTCATCCCTGGTGATGGCAACAGAGGAGCCGGCATCTCAGTTCGCCATGTAATGTGGGGACTGTGTAACTCCAAGGAGGCATGGAAGCCATTCTTTGTGCACTGTCGAAATGCAGCCTGGCGTGTGGAGCGTGCACCAAGTGCTAGGACTGAATGGCTGTGTCAGAGTTTCACTGTGGGGGATGACAGCATCTGTGTGAGGGAGGCAGGGCTCTACGGTGCAGGGTTTAGGGCATAGCCTCGGTGGAAGAACACAGCATCTGCTTTTAGGCACATGGTGAAGGCCAGCCTCCAGAGCCCAGACCAGAAATGGGAACTGCACCACCGTGGGCCACAGAGTCAGTGGCCCAGCTCAGGTTCCAACAGGGCACACCCACATCTCCACATGGTGTGGTCTGAACACGGGTTCCCAGGATGCTGGCCTCTTTTACCTGTTTTAAATCATTTCTGGTGTGGAGCGGGGTGGTGGAATGTGTACTAGGCCTGAGGAATTTTTATGCTATGTCTATTTTGCTGCTAAAAGAAAAAAATTCCAGTATTTGTCTTTCCGTGATACAGCGTGTCCTGAGGTCTGGCCATCTGAGCTGCCTGACTGACCAGGGCCACTGAACTGGACACTGGGTTTCTTCCATGTTCATATCATGAACAATGCTTTCCACAGGGCACAAATGATCAGGCCTCATTGACAGGCACCAGACTAATGTGTAATAACCACTAACGGGTATGGGGAGATGACAAGGGCCTCTTCTCTTGACAACACACTTATTGGGGTACACCTTTCTGCCGAGTCACGTCCACATTGAGGGGCTCCACAGGAGAGCACCATTATCCTTCACGAATGTTCACCAGCCTCCCACAGTCCTGTCTTCAAGCGGCCTTGAAGTGCAATTTCCTCCTTGGAGGCGCCTCCATTGCTACTGGGCCTCTTGATCAAGCAGACCCTCTGGGCTCTCTAACCCAACAAGCCTGTTCCAGAAGAGCCCCTGACTCCTGCTCTTGGTCCTGGGGTAGGCTCATGGATGGTGGAGACAAGCCATGCTAAATACCACTGCCATAGTTAGGATGCTGAATGTCCCCCAAAGGCCCATGTATTAAAAGTTTGGTCCCCAGTAGGAGGTCATTAGGTTACTGGGGGTGTGCCCTTGATGGGGACAGTGGAACCAGTCTCTCCATCTCTCTCTGCTTTATGGCTTGTAATGTAAGCGGTTTTGCTCTGCTGTGTGCTCCTACTGTGACGTGCTGCCCTCACCAGAGGCCCCAAACAATGGGGCTTCCTGATCTTGGACTGGAACCACTAGCACTGTGAGCTGAAACCTATCTTTTCTCTTTATAAGCTAGTTGCCTTAGGTATTTCATTATAGCAACACAAAGCTGACATGTACGCCACCCTCAAGAGAACCATCCTGGAAAGTGGCTTTTTCTCTCCCAAGTAGCAGAAGAAATACTTCTGAAGGTCAGAATGAAATCTAACTTCAGATTTGCCCACAGCCTACTGGCCTTACTGTAGCAGAAGGGAGAGGCTGCCTTACAGCAAGACAAGAGCCGAATGTGAATGCCAGGGAGGGCAAGGCAGATGCTTCAGGTCCAAGGAACAGTGTGGAAGTCATTAACTGCAAGGTGTGTGGTGAACAGGCGCTGACCTTCTGAGCATGAAAAATAACCTGACTTCTAGGTGCTAATAGAACAAAAGTTATCAGTCTGTGAGCTGCAAGTGTGGTTTAAAGCACGCATTCATCTCTGCTCTGTCCAGGCTTGGGGCTGACGTGGACAACACATTACAGCTCTTAGGATTTAAAAGAAGGTGGTACAGTAGACACCAGTTTCTCAAAATTTACCACTTACAGAAGACTTTCTGACAACAAAACAACTATATCCATTTGTGTTGTTTTTGCAAACTTGAGTGTTGACTTCCATGCCAGGAATAGTCAATAAATGACTTCCCAGGACAAGCCAGGTATTTTCTCATTCTTTCTTAGCTCCCTAATATTGGGCCTTATGAACAATGACTATAGAAGTTGCAGTTGGGAATCTTTTTGGTTTTTGCTAGACATCAGATGGCCTTTACGCCACCCAATTGTAGTAGAAACTATATTACGGTCTGTTTGCACTTTCTACACAATGCTAGATCTGATTCTTGAGCTTTCAAGAATTTTATGCAGCCATGAAGAAGAACGAAATGTTATCATTCGCTGGTAAATGGATGGAATTGGAGAACATCATTCTGAATGAGGTTAGCCTGGCCCAAAAGACCAAAAATCCTATGTTCTCCCTCATATGTGGACATTAGATCAAGGGCAAACACAACAAGGGGATTGGACTATGAGCACATGATAAAAGCGAGAGCACACAAGGGAGGGGTGAGGATAGGTAAGACACCTAAAAAACTAGCTAGCATTTGTTGCCCTTAACGCAGAGAAACTAAAGCAGATACCTCAAAGCAACTGAGGCCAATAGGAAAAGGGGACCAGGAACTAGAGAAAAGGTTAGTTCAAGAAGAATTAACCTAGAAGGTAACACCCACACACAGGAAATCAATGTGAGTCAATGCCCTGTATAGCTATCCTTATCTCAACCAGCAAAAACCCTTGTTCCTTCCTATTATTGCTTATACTCTCTCTACAACAAAATTAGAAATAAGGGCAAAATAGTTTCTGCTGGGTATTGGGGGGGGGAGAGGGAGGGGGGAGAGGGAGGGGGGGGAGAGGGAGGGGGCGGAGTGGGTGGTAAGGGAGGGGGTGGGGGCAGGGGGGAGAAATGAACCAAGCCTTGTATGCACATATGAATAATAAAAGAAAAATGAAAGAAAAAAAAAAGAATTTGCTTTTTTGGGGCCTGTGGATTATCAGTGGCCTCAGGGCTTGGCTATGGGCTACAGACTAATCAGAATTGGCTACCAGCCCTCTGCACGCGAGGAAGCTGTGGAGAGCAGACCTATTGCAGGAGATGCCTATGCTATAATCTTCTTGACTCACCACAGATGGAGGGACTGCATGGCTACTTGGAGGAAGAATACACACGCGCACACACATATGCACTCATGTACCATCATGCATGCAAGTATGCACATGCACAAAGGCATGTACACGCACCACACACTTGCATGTACCATGTATACAGGTGCACGCTTTGAACTTAGATCCTAAGGAAGAGTCTCTTGGACTTCATAATGTAGCATTCCAAAGTAGTCAGGATCTTGCCATGAAGGTACTCTGGAAAGAAACTCAGGTTCTCTGGCTTACTTGCTAAATATTCTCGGGCAATTAGCAAGCAAGAACTAACCTCCTGGGGCTTTGGAAAGATCAAAAAGAAGATGCCCTGTGTGGGGGGCTGGGGCCTTTGAAGTCACATCGAGCTTGTTGACTGTACAATAATTCGGCTGAAGACTCCCAACATGGAAGGCTGGAAGCTGGGACCAAAGGCCTTCAGGAATGACGCGTTTGTTCACGTTGGACAATACTCACATACAACTTCTTGTGAGACTGGAATTCTCAGGTTGGCAGAAGAGCAAAATTTCCTAAAACTAAGACTACATGAGTGAAGACTGTGGAATGGGAAGCTATTTTGGCCAGATAGAAAGCAGAGCCTAGAAAGCAACCTGAAAGAAATTTGCAGCAGGCAGATTTGCACACTTCAGAAGAAAACTTTGAGCCACCGGAGGCCCACCAAACTCTCCCCACTTACTTATTGCATGTGCTCCGTTCTCTTCCCCATTCACCGTGGCTTCTCCGTTCTTTGGTGGATTTTGCTGGGAAACAGCTGCCTGGGTTGTCGTAGCTCCTGTTGTCGCTGATGTGGCTGCAGTTGTGGCTGCTGCACTGGCTTGCTGCTGAGCAAGCTTCTCCCGGAACGCCTGCTGTCGGGTCTGTACCACGTCGGGCATCACAGCATCAATCAGGGACAGGGACTCAATGGGGCGGCCATCAAATACCGTGCCATCCTGGAAAAATAAGCCACCACGAGCTCCCATGGAGCAGGGGCTGCTGGAATGGTCCTCGCTCTCAGGGCAGGAGAGGCACAGGAAAGTGGAATGAAAAGATCAAGAATCTAGGAGCTATGGGGTCATGAGCAAGCCAGCATCAACCAGGGACAAGGAAGGGGGTAAGGGGGACAGACGACGAACAGCTAAGTATAAACGTAACCCCAAGAGGGAGACCTGACATTTGGTAAATATCAAGCCAAATGTGGGCATCAGGAACATCCAAATAGGTCCACTTTATCCCGTGACAAAACTGCGAGTGATCTCAAACCGCACAGTGATGCTCCAGTGGGGAGGCAGTTCTCAATGTCTGGAGCCATTTCTGTACTAAGAACTAGTGGTGGGGTGGTTATACTGCCACCTAGTGGGTGGAGGCCGAGGGTGCTGCTCAACCCCACAGTGCACAGGATGTTCTCACCATAGAGTATCATCTAGCCCCAAATGTACAGTGCTGAGACTGAGAACCCCTGCCCAGATGCTACTGCTAGAGTAGCCATTCTCTCTAGAGCACCTACCACTTATGTGGAAGGCAACTCTGGAAGCACCAAGCCCAATTTAGAGATGACTACACAATTCAGAATTTGATGCCTGGTACGTGTGTCCACATGATTTAATACAGTAAACACTTGCTGCTGTTTGAAACAACTCCCTGGGCTCAGAGTATGGTTAAATTCAGCCACAATACAACCAACAACAGAACTGCTTGCTTCTGATTCATATTTTCTGAATGTCCTTTTGATTCTCTGCTTTCCACCTATCACGAAAAGGTTTCCATGCACACGTAAAAATACAGTAAATTCTTTCCTCAGGAAGCACTGAAAATATTCAAGTCATGTGAAACTCAGTATACCTCTGGGATGTGTCTGGTGTTTGTGCAAACCAATTTTTATACTATGTGAATTACCCCAGAAATGAGGAAGAATTTAAAGACACAAGCTTTGCTGGAGAGTATCTAAACAAAACATCATCATGGTCTGACTACAATATAATATTTGAAATAGAAACAATATAAACTAATACAACATTGTGTCCTTGGCCACTTTGGCCCCTGGATTCTGGCCATGGAGTGACCAAAGTTGGCCAGTCACGATGCTCTCCTACCACCTTTTTCCTCAAACAATCCCATCCCAAATCCATGACCATATCACAAAATGCAGTCACTGCCAAAGTAATACTGTGTCTCTTTTTTTAATGCCTAGAAACTTGTGACAAATGAGACCATCTTTCACTTGCCTCTACACATACTAGAATTTGGATTGCTGGGGGAGACATAATGAAGGTGTGGACAGGTGAGAGATCAGCAGGCAGAGGAAAATCAAACCACAGCATCTTAGGATCTGACAGCTGGTAGTGGACCTGGGGTTACGTACTGCTAGCCCCACGCTTGTTTGCTCTGCAGAAAAAGAGACCAGACAGCACCTGAAGGAGTTGGAAGACCTCCAGCAAGCCAATGGTAAGAGAAAGGACAGAGGAGGTGACCACGACAAGGAAGAAAGAACAGAAAATAGGTAGAAACACTGGTATCTTCAAAGATTGCATTTGTGGAAAATGGCAGAGGAAACAATGAGAAAAAAACCAGGATATTATTTTTACGCTTTAAAGGGATTTTTTTTTTTTAAGAGTTAAAGAGAAAGTAGCATAAAATGCGTACGAATGAGAAAGGTTTGCAGGGTAGGGCCAGTTTCAGGGAAGGTGCGAAGGACTGATGTCATGGATCACAACAGAATACAACCAAGTCTGGGACAGAACTGTGTGCTTGCATGGCAGTAGGATAAACAGCTCAGAGCATGGGGCCTGGGACTCAGGTGAAGATAGCCAGAGGTTGTGCAGAACACAGGAAGCCGAGCGGATCTCTGGAAAATCCTGACTGCACAGTAAGGGGGTGAGGGGAGCAGCTGAGAACTCAACCAACCAACCAACCAATTCTCAGATGTGGCACAAGCACTTGCTGTCCCCCAATCTAAATGGTGGGAAGGAATACAAGCACATCAGTAGGATTTTAATTCAACTCTCAGTCATTGTTCCATCCTTGTCCTCATCTACTCCACAGCTAGCACGGTAATCAAAGTCACCACATGGACTCCTTTCCCACACAAAGCTCAGCTGCTCAGTCCCCGATTCTTCTCCTGGTTATGCCCTCAGTTGGATTCACACAAAACACACATTCTCCGAGAGCATGCAGGGGTCCCTCTGTAACTAACCCGCTCCAAGAAATCAAAAACAGAGCATTTCTGCATGTGTAAAGTGTTGGTCCAGAGCAGCTCAAAGTCTGTGCATGGCTTGTGGATGTGGCTATGGCTTATTTATACCAGCCAGGGGCCTGCACTTCTGAATCCACATAGCAGGCACACTAAAGCCTTGCTGTTGTGGGTGTACTGACATGCCTGTCACCTTCTACCTGAATAAAGTATTACCACAAAGTGAAAACCAAAAAGCCTTGCTCTCAGATACTGTAGGAAATGCATGTCAGACTCCGGCTTGTCCTCTGGGTTCATATACATCCTCCAGGACTTTGCTGGTTGGAAGGCCAGTACGGTGCCCCATCCCAGGGCAGACATACCTCATTGATGCTGATCTCGGCCTCCACATACTGCAGTCCCTTCTGCAGGATGGAGATGAGGGCAGCTGGCGGCACTAGAGTCCCGTTGATGTTGGACTGACTGATGTGGCTCTCGATCCCGAATGTGAAGGCCGAGTGGGAAAAACCTGCAGAAAGAGGAACGTCCAGGATGGTGAGAGTCGAGTGGAGGGAGGAAAGTGTAACCATTAAGATGTGAAAATGCAATTATGGGTTTCCAACTTGCTTAGTTAACAGGTGTGACTCAGCTGGGTGCCTGGCTTCAGATTTGGGATCCAGCAAGTTGGGAGAGTGGGAGAAATACAAGACCAAGAAAACTAGTTCTGGCACGTGCTGGCACACAGCCTTTAATGACAGGGCCTTTTACAGCACAATAGATATGCCTTGACTAACAACGGGGTTATGTCCTGAAAAACACATCGTAAATTGGAAATATCACATGTTGAAAGTGCATTTAACACACCTATTATGGCTTGAATCCAAAAATGTCCCCCAAAGGTTCGTGTGTTCAAGACTTGGTTGCCAGCTGATGGTTTTTTCAGAGGTGACTGGATCCTGAGGGCCCTAACCCCGTCAATGGACTAATCCACTAATTAATTTAGAGCTCAATGGACTATTAAGAGGTGGGGCATGGTTGGAGGAAGTAGGTTACTGGGGGGCATGCCTTTGAAGGGCATATTTTGTCCCCAGACCTTTTTCAAACAGTTTCCCCCATCATGCACTCCTGCCACGATGCACTGCTCTCCACAGGCCCAAAGGCCATTGGGCCAAGTGACCATGGACTGAAACCATAAGCCCAAATAAACCTTTCTACCATATAAGTTGCTTATCTCTGGTATTTTATCACAGTCACAGAAAACTGACTAACACAGGGCTGCATCGAGAAAGAGCATCATATGCTCACAGCTAGCCTGGGAAAAGATCCCAATCCAAAATTCGAAGTAAGGGGTCTACTGAATGCGTATCACTTTCGCACCATTGCGAAGTCAAAAAAGATCACAAGCTGAAGCGTCACATATAAGCCAAGTCCACCTATATTGAGAAGCTTGCCCTGGGTTCCCTGGTTGGGTTGTTTGTTACAGAAATGCAACCCGAGGCTTCCACAAACCCTTGGCTTGAATCCCTCTTTGCAGAAGCTCTATGCTTAAGTCTGCTCCCAACTGCAATGCATACAAGGTGCTTCTCTTTGGCCCAAGATAACTGCGCAAGTGCCTGGCTTGGAGTGCTCATATGCCTGTGGGAGCAGATGACTCAGATGACCAACCCCCTCCATGAGGCTGCTCTGGACCAAGCCGTATGGCATTGAGTGGCTTATTAACTACGCCCCCAGCCTTTTGCTGATTTTTCCTTTCCTCCCTATTGCATCTTTTATTGTCTTGGTAGGAAGTTGCTAATAAATGAAGCACTTGAAAATTTACAGAGGTTTTCATACAACTTTTGGATGATGGCACTTGAATGAAAATGTTAGGAAGTAATGCCTTGGTTTTATGCACCATGCGTGATTCTAAAGAAGAAGGCCATAAGACACAGAAAAAGGCACTTGTGGGGAGGGTGGCTCCCTGTGGGGGGAGATGAGGGGGATTAGGAACCTTCAGCAGCGTTCTTCAGGAAAGGAAGGTGGACTTCTACTGCCAAAGTCTAGGCTGTGGCGAGTATTTTCTTACAATAGGCACCCTAGAATCCTTGGGAGGTACAGGCCTGGTGTGGGAGGACGCCTGGGATGTATCTGGTGATCAGAGCCTTTCAGCCTTGCTAGGCATTTGCTTCCCTTCTGTTCTCTTCTTGTCAGCCAAATGGGGGCAGCAAATAACCTTGCTTCCCTGATGCCCCCTTGTCACGCACTTGCATGCAGCCTTTGCAATAAGCCAAATGCTCGCCAGGAGGAAATGGTCCTTGTGAAGGCAGGTTCAGGCCTTTGTACTCTCCTTCCTCTTTTCTGAGTCTTTACTTTTCGTCCTTCACTTGCTCCTCCTCACTCCACCCACAGTTCCTCCCCCACTGCCTTGTATTTATCTAATAAAGTGACACGGTAGCTGCTATTAATTTTATAATCAGTTGCACAGAGCCTTCTATGTTTCTGTACAAAAGTGTAACTACCTAAACGAGGTTGCAAAAGATCCCTTCTCAGAGACTCCAACTATGGTGTGTAGCGGTGGGACCTTTGGCAAAGGATCAGGATTTGATATGTCCTTAGGGTGAAGCCCCCATGACTGAATCCTGGAGGCTTTAGAAGAAAGAGTCAGAAGACAGGCCCTGCACTGCCTGTTTCTCGCCATGTGATGCCCTGCGCTGCCTTGCGACTTCACCAACTAGAACACTCTAACCATATGTGGCGCCTTGAACTTGGACCTCCAGAGCTGTTAAGTCAAATCAAACGTCTTTTCTTTATAAAGTAACCTTCCTCAGGTCTTTCATTACAGTAACACAAAAACAGATCAATAAATTAGAGGATATAAGTAAAGGCACTTTACAGTCAACTTCATTTTCTTTCTAGCTTTATGTTTTCTCAACCCACCCTTGTGTTACCCAATGACTGTATTACCTCCAAACTTTTATCATTCAGGTTTCTGGCAAGGTGTAGACTAGAAAAGCACTGGTCAATGGATGGAGTGGACCACAATGGATTCTTATGTTGATGGCCCATTGCACAGAATCGTCACTATCTACTCCAGGTCACAGTGACTGCACTCTCCTAAGAATTTATAAACTCTCATGGTTAGTAGGAGCCATTTCCCTGGCTCCTCCCTGCAGCCTTCCTTTCCATTTCTTATCCTCGTGTCTTCCTTAAAAGGCCCAGAACAGGACTACACCTATTGCAGTACCAATAAAAATAGTAGCAGGCAGCCCTAACAGGGTGCTGGCCCTCGGGACAGGCGTTGCTACAAAAGCACTACGTGAATTCCCTCAGCCTCCCAGTACTCATTCTCTCTGCTTTTCTTTCACGTTTATGGATCAGGTTCCCCGAGTCATTTTGAGGGACAGGTCCATGTTACTCAGTCTGTGGGGGTGGGGTAAGATGGTAAGATACAAACCTGGGTGAGTCACCACTCTTAGTCACCATGAAACACTGTCTAGAAAAACCTACTGAATGCACCAGAGCACAGCATTAACTGCTGTTCAGTGGCACTACTGTTTTGGCTTTACACACAAGGGCAATATGGCAGAAATGAGGTAACTTGCTCAGTTATATATGTGATAAGAGACTGAGCTAGGATTTGTTCATTGTGGGGTTTCAGTACTCCTCTTTTTACTTTTCACACTAAGACCCACTGGCACAGAAACCAAAAGTCCTCCTTTCTTTGGGCGGATGCAGACTGAGTTCCCATCTGGTTGCCCAGCTGGACCACTTTGGCTTTGAGTGGCAGTGCCAGGAGCAGCTCAGGTTAACCACGAAGAACAAGCACAAGGCCATTGCTACTCCAAGGCTTGAGTTTGTCCTTGGTCTCTGTACCAGGCCTTTAAAACGCCGGGTCTACGGTCTAGCTGCGTAACTTAGGTCTTCCCAGGACTATGCTCTTTGATGCAGGCTCCATTTCTAGACCACGTCCATGACGGTCTTCAGTTAGGGCTTATTGGAAGAAAGGGATGGAGCAGTAAAGATGGACTAGGGGAGTGGTAGTATATGATAATGCAAGAACAAACTTTCTCCCATGGAAGCAAAATGACAAATAAGTGGGCTAAAGCTACTTGAGGCACCATGACCTTGAGTATCTTTGATTAGCTGGGGTCATCACTGAACAGAACTGGAAATGAGGCATATTCCTAAAGATTAGCTGCATGTGTTTCCCTATCGCTGTTAAAACAAGCCCTCCTAGCTGCTAATGAAGCAATGTAAAATGTTACATCAGCTCCATGTCTTCAGACAGAACCCTACATGGCTCCAAGCCAGTGCTTTTTTACTCCAATTGCTCCTAAGACATTCTTCCTGATTTCTGGCCAACCCTATGTCATCAACTCATATGGGAGGCTAGGTGGAGAGAATACCAGATATAGTTAGGATTGCTGGGTTGTCTTTGTTCTACCACCGAGTAATTTCACTTGGCTGGTCTGCTATTTCCTCCTCTCAGTGTAGGGATAAAAAGTACCTTAAGGAGCGTGAGCCACCTAGCTGCTTGGGAAATGGAGATCAAAAGGATCTAGGTATGAGGCCAGCCTCAGCAAAAAGGTTCTCAGTGAATAAGTTGGGTGTGGGGATGCTTGCCTGTCATCCTAGCTACACAGGAAGCATAAATAGGAGGATCACAGTTCAGGCCCGCCTGGGCATAAATGCAAGAGCCTATTTAGAAAGTAACTAAAGCAGGGCTAGCACAGTGGTGCACGTGGTAGAGCACCTGCCTAGCAAGCACAAAGCCCTGACTTCAAACCCCAGTACCACCAAACAAAACGAAACAAAAAACCTCAAGGAGGTCGTGGAGGAAAGATGCAAGAGTAGCCAGATTCCAGACACTTTTCAGTCAAGAGAGAAGAGCACAAACTAGTGTCCATGTTTCCTAGTTAATGCAAAGAGGACACAGAATGCAATGGTTGCTAAGATGCTTTCCAGTTACAACATTTACTCTAAAACAGGGAGACGCCTGCTATGGCCTGAATGCTGGTGTCATCCCCCAGTGGAATGTTGGAAACTGATATTCTATGTCATAGTACTAAGGGGAAGTAATCGTCCCATCTTCATAAATGGGTACAGCACCCTTATAAAAAGGCACTAGTAAGAATGCAAGCTCCTTTGACCCCTTCTACCCATGCGAGGACACTGACCAGGTTCCCACTATGAGGAACAGGCCTTCATCAGACACAAAATTTGCTGGTGCCTTCATATTGGACATCACAGTCTCTAGAAGTGAGAGCAATACATTTCTGTTGTCTGTAACACACCCAGTCTAGGCTATTTTGTTATCAGCCTGTACAGAATAAGACAATACGCAAGGACTAAGTAGTCACACTTACCTGACAACTGCCTCTTGGGCCATGTGCCAAGGGCCTGTGTGAGGTGCCATCATGGAAAGCATGGTACCGCCACATACTTCTTTTTCAGGGTCAGCCTGGCCTCTACCACAGCCAGCACCATACCCCCAATTGGACCCCAAGGCCAACAAGCACATTCAGTAGCAGTTTGCCCAAGGGGAGAGAC